AATCAATCAATGTGATAGAACAAATCAATAAGAAAAGAGAGAAGAACCACATGGTCCTCTCAATTGATGCAGAAAAAGCATTTGACAAAATCCAGCAACCGTTCCTGATTAAAACGCTTCAAAGTATAGGAATAGAGGGAACATTCCTGAACTTCATAAAATCTATCTATGAAAGACCCACAGCAAATATCATCCTCAATGGGAAAAAGCTTGCAGCCTTCCCGTTGAGATCAGGAACACGACAAGGATGCCCACTCTCACCACTCTTGTTCAACATAGTATTAGAAGTCCTAGCAATAGCAATCAGACAACAAAGAGAAATAAAAGGTATCCAAATTGTAATGAAGAAGTCAAACTCTCTCTCTTCACAGATGACATGATTCTTTATATGGAAAACCCAAAAGACTCCACCCCCAAACTACTAGAACTCATACAGCAATTCAGTAACGTGGCAGGATACAAAGTCAATGTACAGAAATCAGTGGCTTTCTTATACACTAACAATGAAAATACAGAAAGGGAAATTAGAGAATCGATTCCATTTACTATAGCACCAAGAACCATAAGATACCTGGGAATCAACCTAACCAAAGAGGTAATGGATCTGTACTCGAGGAACTACAGAACACTCATGAAAGAAATTGAAGAAGACACAAAAAGATGGAAGACCATTCCATGCTCTTGGATCGGAAGAATAAACATTGTTAAAATGTCTATACTGCCTAGAGCAATATATACTTTTAATGCCATTCCCATCAAAATTCCACCGGTATTTTTCAAAGAGCTGGAGTAAATAATCCTAAAATTTGCATGGAATCAGAAGATCAGAAGAATCGCTAAGGAAATGTTGAAAAACAAAAATAAAACTGGGGGCATCACGTTACCTGATTTCAAGCTTTACTACAGAGCTGTGATCACCAAGACAGCATGGTACTGGCATAAAAACAGACACATAGACCAGTGGAACAGAGTAGAGAGTCCAGATATGGACCCTCAACTCTATGGTCAGTTAATCTTCGACAAAACAGGAAAAAATATACAGTGGAAAAAAGACAGTCTCTTCAATAAATGGTCCTGAGAAAACTGGGCAGCTATATGTAGAAGAATGAAACTCGACCATTCTCTTACACCATACACAAAGATAAACTCAAAATGGATAAAAGACCTCAACGTGAGACAGGAATCCATCAGAATCCTAGAGGAGAACATAGGCAGTAATCTCTTCGATATCAGCCACAGCAACTTCTTTCAAGATATGTCTCCAAAGGCAAAGGAAACAAAAGCCAAAATAAACTTTTGGGACTTCATCAAAATCAAAAGCTTCTGCACAGCAAAGGAAATAGTCAAGAAAACAAAGAGACAACCCATGGAATGGGAGAAGATATTTGCAAATGACAGTACAGACAAAAGATTGATATCCAGGATCTATAAAGAACTCCTCAAACTCAACACACACAAAACAGATAATCATATCAAAAAATGGGCAGAAGATATGAACAGACACTTCTCCAATGAAGACATACAAATGGCTATCAGACACATGAAAAAATGTTCATCATCACTAGCCATCAGGGAGATTCAAATTAAAACCACTTTGAGATATCACCTTAGTTAGAATGGCCAAAATTAGCAAGACAGGAAACAACATGTGTTGGAGGGGATGTGGAGAAAGGGGAAGCCTCTTCCACTGTTGGTGGGAATGCAAGTTGGTGCAGCCACTTTGGAGAACAGTATGGAGATTCCTCAAGAAATTAAAAATAGAGCTTCCCTATGACCCTGCAATTGCACTACTGGGTATTTACCCCAAAGATACAGATGTAGTGAAAAGAAGGGCCATCTGCACCCCAATGTTTATAGCAGCAATGACCACGGTCACCAAACTGTGGAAAGAACCAAGATGCCCTTCAACGGACGAATGGATAAGGAAGATGTGGTCCATATACACTATGGAGTATGATGCCTCCATCAGAAAGGATGAATACCCAACTTTTGTAGCAACATGACGGGACTGGAAGAGATTATGCTGAGTGAAATAAGTCAAGCAGAGAGAGTCAATTATCATATGGTTTCACTTATTTGTGGAGCATAACAAATAGCATGGAGGACAAGGGGAGTTAGGTGAAGGGAGTTGGGGGAAATTGGAAGGGGAGGTGAACCATGAGAGACTATGGACTCTGAAAAACAATCTGAAGGGTTTGAAGAGGTGGGGGGGTAGGAGGTGGGGGAACCAGGTGGTGGGTATTAGAGAGGGCATGGATTGCATGAAGCACTGGGTGTGGTACAAAAAACAATGAATACTGTTATGCTGAAAATAAATTAAAAAAAATGATTAAAAAAAAAAAAGCAAGCAAGCAAAGAGCATCTCTATTCAGAGATTCCTCTGTTGGTTTAGTCTCTAGCAACACAGTTATTCCCAGAGATGGTTCGAAACTGTTTTTGTTGTTGTTGTTTTGTTTTTTGTTTTTGTTTTTTACCAACCTTAAAGGAAAGAAAGCAGGTAAAAAAGCACAGAGGTGTATGGCACCAATGTCGGATGGTTTATAACGCTGGCTGCTGTAATTACGAGCCCTTAAATCTCCACGCGGTCATGCAAGACGCTGTTAGTCACCTGAAGCCCCATTGGTTGGGAGGGGAAAGAACTGGCAGAGCCTTTGGGAAAGCAGACGGACACGGGTTTCTTCATCCTCAGCCAGAAGCTTCTAAGGCTACCCTCTGCTTTCCCATCCAGCTGGAAAATAGCATGATGAGATCTAGTTGTTCTTCCTCAAAAGTCTCTGCAGAGTCGTGATTTTTTTAAGAGACTAAAGAGAAAAAAAAAAAAGTAATGAGGAAAGTTTATTTCAAACAATGGAGAATGTCGAGCTTTATAAGCTGCTCTGGGCCAGAATTTCCCTAATAACCGCCTCATTCATGCCCTTCTTTAACACTGGCGATGCTTTCTCGATCCAATTAGGCTGCCTAATGGAAAGTGCTCCTATGTGTTAGGTGAGCAGAGAGCTGACGGAGGGAGGAAAAGCCGGAATGATCAGAATGAAGTACGTAAGAGGAGCCCGGCTAAAGGAAAGACAAACGGGACAGGTGGCAGACAGGAAGACAAATAGTGAAAGTGATAAAGAAGAAAATAAAGCTTGAGTATCTTAAGCAACTGGGAGCTTTTAGACAACGGGACTATTTAGGGTATAGATCAGCTAGATCTTTGAAACTCGGCTTGGTAGATGATGTTTTAAAACGTGAGAGAATTGGCCTACGATCACATATGTTCAGTCTGCACACTCCCTCCATCACCTCTCTTTCCCATCCAACTTCAGCCTTTCCACAGCAGCTCAAGTCCTCGGAGGGAAATCAAGACCTTCAAGGGCTCTGTTCAAAAACCACCAACTGATACATAACCAGAGGCCATCACAATGAACCTGCCACCACCCATCATCTCATTTCAGCAAAATCCTCCTCGTTTCCCAGCGACCAGCTCCCACAACTCTGCCTTTCTGTCCCTGCTCCAAACCCCGGGAAGAATGAACCCCTCTTCCTCTGTGACCCTACTGCATCACAGCTCGGTCCCTAGTAAGATTGCTTGGAGTTTCTGCTGATCGTCTTACATACTCGCAGCTGCTACAGTAACTTTATACTCTGCAGGACAAGGTCAGGACCCTTTCTGCACCTGTGCTCCTTGATGGGAGCTGACATGTCTGCAGGGGAAGGGAACTGAAGGGAATGGTCTTGAGCTGCCCTCAGCAGTGCCCAATGGACCAGATGAAAGGCAGGACTGCACTGGGGTAGGTTTCTGGATGTCTAGAAGAATCTATGGATGGGGACTCAGCTGACAAGAGAAAATGGGCAGAACTTCTAAACCACACACATCCCAACTCATGCCAGGTTGCATACTTGCATGTAATTTTTACGCAGTGAAAACCGCACAGTGGGAACTGAAGTTTATTCTCATAATCGTGGATCTCCGAATGCAGGAGGAGTGCTGACTCAGTGTTTGGCAGAGTGGGAGCGTCGTGAGAAAATTGTGTCAAAAGAGGGGAAAAGACCATCTTTCTAACACAGGAATGTGAGGAAGAAGGAACTCTCCAGACCGCCTTTTATACCAACAAAAACTGTCAGGAAGGAAAAACGAAAATGGTAAATTCAAGAGGATTTTTGAACACACACTGCACTAAGCACTCTTGGGAGATCATTTTAATACGTGATCAGATTGTCTCTCCCAAACCCCAGAGATTTTGTAGAGGACAAAAAGGACATGGAGGAGAGTTAAGTGACTCATTTCGGATTGTGAATCTGGCGATTCCAACAGAGACATGTTCAATTTCAAAACATGTGCCCTAACCTGGAAATCAAACCTAACTCCGCACGCCCTGTCATCGTTCTGTTACAGGGACACCTGCTCTGCCCAGTTTCACACGTCAGGATCTCAGCTACCGCCCCAGTCACCTTCAGGCGTTTCAGGTGAACAATCAAAAAATATCTTGATATTTTTGATGTTGTTAGTTTGTTTGCATATCACTTGGGAGTCCATAATACCACTGTAAAGAATCATAATTATAATTATAATGTTAGCAGTCATGGCCAGGAGACTTCCAAGTAGCTGCAGGCAACAGCAGGTATATAAGAAACAACTTCTCCGAACCTCCTCCCCAGAAATATGAAATAACCACATCGACGAACATTCAAAGCCAGACCACACTCTCAAAGTTACTCAAAGACACAGAAAGCAAAACTGGCAAAATAAGTGCGTGTCAAAAGAGAAAAACAAAGACAAGCAAGTGCTGGTCTCAAGTGGTACCGCCCCATCTCTGCCCTTGGTAGGACCAGCGGCGCAGATTGAGAAACAGAACCAAAACCACCAAGGGGATCAGAGCAGAAACTTCAGCCCAAGGGGCCTGACTGAGAACAGGTATGACCACCAGGAAAAGTAAATTCACTCTAAGTCTGAGAGGACAAGTAACTGGGTAGATCAGAGCAAGAAGCACACAGGAGGAATTTCAAAGTATGTCTTAATGGGGAGCTATCAAAAATTAAAAAACAAAGTCACCACTTTCATGAGGCAAGAGTTGCAGGAGATGCAGGTGATGGGGGGAGATTCGGAGAGCTGGCTTGACTTGTGCGAGGCAGGTAAGACTTGGGCAGAGATCAATCAGTGTCCATAAGATCAAGTCTAATATAATCAGAAGCATTCTAAAGTCCATGATGGTCAAATATAAAATTTTAAGGAAAGACAGCATCTGGCTCTTCGCTTCTACAACCCTGCCTTACACATGTCACTGTAATCCTGGCCCACATTCCAATAAAACTTTATTTATGAAAACAGAAGGCTATCCCATAGGCTATACTTTGCTGGTTTAATCTTTTGAAATACTGCAGTAAAAGATTGTTTTACCTTGATTACCAAGTTTTACCTTGATTACTAATGGTGCCCCATTACACTTTGTGCCTAAGGTGAGTGTATCAGTCCCCTTTCCCTTGTCTTAGTCTTGCTGATAAGAAATTTTAACTTATTACTCTCCATATAAAACAGATGAAATTCCAGATATTAACGGAAAGGACAAAAAGTTGTTAAAGAACTACCCTGTAAAAAAAGCCTACATGTTTTCACAGGGAAATTCTGCTAAATTCTTCAAAAGACCAGATATTTCTAATACTCTGAATTATTCGAGGGCACTGAAAAGGAAGGAAAACTATATGATTCCTTTTTGTAAGCCGTAATACCTAAACCGGATAGTGATAGTAAAAAAAAGAAAGAGAGAAAGAGGAAGAAAGAAAAAACTGCAGACCAATATTTCTCCTTAAATAAATTCAAAATTCTAAAGAAAATATTAGCAAACAGAATCAATATCTTAATAATACATTAATCAGTACATGATTAATAATGATATACTATGTCAAGGGGCATTTGTGCAAAAATACAAAGTTAGTTCAATAGTTCAGCCTTCTGTCTCTAGAACTTTGAGAGAACACATTAAGTTGTCAGATTGAGGGTACTGTTGTGGCAGCCCTTGGAAACTAATGCAGACTAATACATCCCAGCTTTGCCTTCTAGAAGGACCTAGAAACACTGACACGAGTTCTAGGCTTCTCAGTCTCATTCTCCATCATGAAGGAACCAGGATATCTTGGGGGAGAATGACTGACTTCAGGGTTAAGGCAGAGAAAACACGAGATGAGTCTGGCACATCTGATCGCATCAGAAAGGAAGAATGTACTCAAAACAGATGCGGGCTTGTCCAAGCAAAGGGAGCCAACCTGGGGACACTCCTAATATAGACAGCTGGAATAATCTGAATGATAAAATACGTAATAGGAGAGTTATCCACAGACTAGACTCAAAATATATCAAAAATAATTAAGTAGGAGAGAAGGGAAAGTTCTTATAGAATTCTAGTTAATAAATAGGAAAGCACCTGGGTGGCTCAGTCAGTTAAGTATCTGCCTTCAGCTCAGGTCATGATCCCAGGGTCCTGGGATCTCGGGGTCGTAGGATTAAGCCCCACATTGGGCTCCCTGCTCAATGAGGAGTCTGCTTCTTCCTCCCCCTCTTCCCTTCCCCCTGCTCGTTGTTCTCCCTTTCAAAAAAATAAATAAAATCTCTTAAAAAATATAGAGGAAAGCAAAGAGGAAACAAAGTACCAGGAGGCAAACACCACAATAGTAATTGTTGCAGACCAGCTCCTGCTGAGCACTCCATTCAGAGGCAAATGTTTGAGTAGAAGCAGGATTCACGAAGTCTCAAAGTATCTTCCCTGAGTTATTTATTACCCGCACAGGTTAGGATGGTAACTTTACAGTGGGAAAATCAATAGAATCCATCCTTTTTTTTTTTTTTTTTTTTTTTTTTAAGATTTTATTTACTTGACAGACAGAGATCACAAGTAGGCAGAGAGGCAGGCAGAGAGAGAGGAGGAAGCAGGCTCCCCGCTGAGCAGAGAGCCCGATGTGGGGCTCGATCCCAGGACCCTGGGATTATGACCTGAGCCGAAGGCAGAGGCTTTAACCCACTGAGCCACTCAGGCGCCCCGAATAGAATCCATCTTAACCAAGTAATCAAAGGCAATGTCACCAGCAATAAGACACCTAACATTATCAGCCCTCTGATAAGATGAAGTGAGGAAGACACATCCTTTCTGTGATATTCTTGCCAAAGATGTATAATCTCAGCACGGGGACTAGAAAACATTAAGCAAGCCCAGATTAGGGGGGAAAAGGGGAAAGGATATTTATATTTCAGCCAAGCATTAGAAACATGTTTAAATTAGTTTAACCTCACTTAAGGAGCATTGGAAAATTAACTGATCCATCATCTTTAAAAGTGTCAAGGTCAGGGACGCCTGGGTGAGCCTCTGCCTTTGGCTTAGGTCATGATCTTAGGGTCCTGGGACTGAGCCCCGCATCGGGGCTCTCTGCTCAGCAGGGAGCCTGCTTCCCCCTCTGTCTCTGCCTGCCTCTCTGCCTACTTGTGACCTCTGTCTGTCAAATAAATAAATAAAATCTTTAAAAAAAAAAAAGGTGTCAAGGTCATGAAAGACAACATTGAGGTATTCCCACAGCCTGCAGGAAAGTAAGGAGATATAAAAGCTAATCACAAGGTGAAAACCTGGGGAGGTTGTTGGAACAGAAAAAAAGAATATTGGCAGAAAAAGTGGTGCGATTCAAACGCAGCAGTTAGTTGAGTTACTAGTATCCTACCAAATGTTAATTTCCTGGTCCTGATCCTTCTGCCCTGGCTAAGTAAGATGTTAACAGAAGCTCGAGCGAGGAAAACCATACTGCTTTTGTGACTTCTGTAAATCCCAGTTTTGTTCAAAATTTTCAAAAGTGACTGAACCCACAAAATAGATGAAAATAATACAGTTTACTGAACAGTTTGTTTAAAAAACACAAAATTAAATCAATATTATTAGAGGGTGAAGGTCTTCTCCACTATTTTTTCCTTCCCCCCTCCCTTCCTTTCTGTTCATTCCTTCCTTCCCATCTCTTTCCCTTCTTTTCTCCCCTCCTTTCTTCTTTCCTTCCATCTTTCCTTTTAAGCTTGATGAGGAAACACATCCCACAGCAGAATGTTTGTTCAATCTTGTTATAGTTTTGAGAGACTTTCAAAAGCCTCATTAGAGGGACTCAAGATACAATTATCTGATTAAAATCAAGCCTGGAAGTAATTTGTTTTCATTTGACAACCTCTTTTCTCTGAGCCAGGTTTAGCTCCGCTGCTCAGACTGTTTGGGGAAACTGTAATCAATAGCTATTTACTTCCACTAAGCTGAGGAAAACAGGAAGGGAACATAAAAACAGAGAGGATGTTGGAATGGGGACAGGTTTTAAGAAAAGAAGGAAATAGACAAAGCCAGTCAAAGTTCTTTTTAGAAAGCATTTTTGTTCATTATTAGGGCAAAACGGACAGTTTGCCATAATTATTATAAGTTGGTGATTTTTGAGGGAGGACCTTAAAAATGCACAATCTGAAACAAATATCACTAATAGTCAAAAACTTATTTAAATTATCAAATATAGGACAAGATCCAGGACTCTTTTTTCCCCTATGGGAGCATTTGGGTCAGGTGGGAAAACAGAGATCAATTACCTATCTATTCATGCCTCTTGTAAAATTTTCCAATGCCCTCACCATCGCCATCATCCTAAAAAACGTCTGTATGTCATTACCTCACTGCCCATGCTGCTCCAACCGCAATCAGATAACAGGACAATGCCATGGTTGTTTTTTAAAAATAAGACTGCGGGGAGAAGAGGAGGGCTGGTTTTTGTCCTGAAGAAAAGAAGGATCTATTGTCAAATGGAATATTAAGTAAGGATTAATCTCTCATATCATATAATTATGATAATGTCAGACATTTTTCATGAAGGGGAGTAAACCAGATAAAAGAATTAACAGAAAATGATTCAAAGGCCATGTGCTATGAACTAGAGGGAAAGCTTTGTGCAAATAACCAGAACACCTGGGGTCATGGGTCCTTAGGCAAGTTAACTTTTTCAAATTTCATTTCCCCCTCTAAAATTAGGAAGCCTAATTACATTGTTAAATGCTGTCCAGACTTCTAAATTTGTGCAATTTCAGGAAGCCTGTTGAATTTGACTTCAAGTTGAGTGATAATTTTGTTCAGACGCTCGATTCTTTCCAAAAACCTTTTTTAAGTCTACGATTTAGTTCACATATTTTTTTTTCTTTCTCTAATCATCACACTGCAGTTGAGAAATTTCGTATCTAAATATAGAGAGGGCACGTATTATATATAGTGTATTTACCTAAGTATCCCAAAGAGCGCAAATTATGGTTTAGACTTAATGAACTTAAAGACCAGAAATCACAGTTTTAGGTGAGTTTTATCTGAGGAAAGAAATAGTAGCAGGGAAAACTGATATCCATATAGAGGCTCTAATCATTGGATCCTATGGTATCCATGAAACCCTTACTAATGGCATTATTGATAACTTCATTTTGCAAATCAGTGGGTACTTTTAACAGATGTGGTTAACAAGTATCTTTATTTATAAATAATAAATAATATTACTAGTAAAGCTTAGCTCTCCTGGTCCTTCTCACATCATTAGTTCTATTCCCTGATGCCCAGATACCCTCCGTTCCTCAGGCTTCCCTCTTTGACCCGCACTTCTCCCCTTCTCCCTGATGGCTTGCTTCAGTATTTATTCCCAGGTACGGTAACAAACACGAAACAAGGCCTTTGAAAGAAGTATTTATTACATTTTCCATGAGAAAGGGGCACACCGTACCCTGCAAGACCACGTGCCGAAACACCACATTTTGCTAGGAGGAGTGAGGGGAAAGCCCAGATTAGAACTTCTTTTGGGGTTTTCTATGGGATAAACAGTTTAGGATTGGGCTGTTCCTGGTTGTCTGCTACCTGGCCCTGGGTTGTTTTTTTCTGGGGTGGAGTGGTTAAGGTTTTTATTTATTTATTTGACAAAGAGAGACACAGCCAGAGAGGGAACACAAGCAGACACAAGCAGGGGGAGCAAGAGAAAAAGAAGCAGGCTTCCCACTGAGCAAGGAGCCTGATGCAGGCCTTGGTCCCAGAATGCTGGGATGAGGAGCAGAGCCGAAGGGAGACACGTAAGGAATGAGCCACCCAGGTGCCCCACCCTCCCCCGCCCCAGACCCCTCGGTTGATTTTGAGCGGGGGCGGGGGGGGGCGGGGATATGGGCTCAGTGTGTTTGTTAGATAAGGAAAAGGTGCAGAGAATTGGTTCTAGACCGCAGGACGGAAACCACCCAGGTCATTAGTTTGGCCGTGTAATCAGTGCGTGCCAAACCGACAAGTACGGAATCTAAGAAAATACAGCCAGAGTTTACTGTCTACTTTTGGATTTTTTAAAAAGATTTTATTTACTTATTTATTTGACACAGAAAGAGAGAGCGAGCAGGGGGAGCAGCAGAGTAAGAGGGAGAAGCAGACTCGCCTCTGAGCAGGGAGCTGGACTTGGGACTTGACCCCACGATCCCGGGATGGAGACCTGAGCTGAAGGCAGACACTTAACCACTGAGCCACCCAGGCGCCCTCCATTTGGGTCTTTCAAGAGCACCTTCGTCCTCACATCCAGACCGCACTAGATTCTACAAGCGTCATCGGTGTGTGTGTACATGCACGGATGAAGTACCCATCTCGCTGTTACATATCTCCTTGTGAATATCAATGAATACTTCAATCCCAAGAACTCAAAATCAAAGTTGTTATTCCCGCCTAACAACCTTGACCTTTGTCCTCTTTTCCCTCCTTGCCATTATTAGACACCCAATCACCCAAATCATAAATCTGGAAGACGACAGTGCCCTTTTAATTATCTGTGTATCTATGACCAGTCATCAATCCCTCTGTCCTTACCTCTTAAATAGTTTTTTGATTCTGTACACTACTTTCAATTCATGACCCTTTATCAGACTAAGTATTGTTGCATAAAAACACTTGTCAAATGTCTGTCTCTGTCTAGTTCCACATACTATGTGTTTCCCATACAAAGCAAAAGGGAAGTTAGTAAAATAAGACTGGGGAAAAAATTACATTAGAACCACCAAAGGCTTGGGGGCTGACTTCTCTTTTGTACTTTATGCTCAATAACAAAATAGTTGTGATTCCTTTAAAAAAATAATCTGTTATTTTACCTCTGTATTGTTGTGTAGCATGTCCCCAGTATTTAAGATGTCCCTGCTCCCACGCATCAGTATGGCAAGTTCTTTTGCTTAAATATCCCTCAAGAACCTGCTGGGGTTTTCATTTCTTTTGAGAAACTTCCCTAACCCACCCTGTTCATCTGTACTGGTTCATCACTCTATGCTTTTCCATGCAGTTTTCCCAGTGTGTGGAAAACACTCCAACAATTTCCCACCCACACCCCATGCCTGAAGTTTCCAAAGAGCAAAGCTATTTTACACATCTGTATCTCGCTGACTACCATCCACAGTCTGTTTCCTGAATCAAACTGAACTAAATTCGAAAGATTCCAGAACACTTCTCTGACTGGGGCTCCCAAAATTAAAAGTTATGGAACAATTTTGTTCCCAACAGAGAAGACATTTTTCCTGGTACATCTATTGCTAGCAGCCAAGTTCAAACATATATATATATATATATATATATAAATAAATTTCTTTTTTCTTTCTTTTTTTTTTTTGTTTCACTATTAGGCAGCTGTGGGATAATGCACAGCTTCCCACATCAAACAAAGCCTGGTTTATTAATATGCAGTCTATTTTACACAAAACCAACTGCACCCAAAATCCCCCCTTTTAGAGAATATATAGAGGGGGGAAATGCTGAGAAAACAGTTTATGTAAATATAGAAATAAGAGCTGAAGAGCAGGGTGTTACACCAGACTCTAAAGGGGCACCTGGGTGGCTCAGTGGGTTAAGCCTCTGCCTTCAGCTCAGGTCATGATCTCAGGGTCCTGGGATCGAGCCCTGCATTGGGCTCTCTGCTCAACAGCAGAAAGCCTGCTTCCCCCTCTGCCTGCTTCTCTGCCTACTTGTGAGCTCTCTCTGTGTCAAGTAAATAAATAAAAGATCTTTTAAAAAAATAAAATCCACTAAAAACATAATTTCTGTGATTTTAAGAATTTTCTTTAGGAAAAAATAGTAGGGAATATTTCACCATACAAAAAGCAGGTTTGAAAAATATCCCACAACAGTGTGTTTTTAAGTTTTTTTATTAAATATGTTCAATAATGTATTTTAAGCTACAAGCTTAGGTATTTAATTCTTTGGAGTATAACCAAATTCTCTTATCTTAAGCTATATTACTAGGTAAACAAGTCAAATGTTCTTTCCAGCAATAAAGTCTTTAAGTCAGTATTCCAAAGGGTGCCTTCCCCTCAAGCTGGGTATGTCTAAAATAGATTCACTGTAGGGAGCAATATGTTTTTACAAATGTGTATATAAGACAAAATCAAGACTGATAAGTTGATACGTGATAATAAGAATAAAGTTGAGTAGTCTTAATATTAAGGGTTTCTTAATATTACACAGAAAACATGGTAGCAAATCATTTTCCTTAGATTCAAAATTCCACTAAGTACTAAAAAAATAAGAATCAGAGTTCAGTATTTATACTATAAAAGGGATAGGGAAAATATTTCTAATTTTTATTTAAGCACATTTTCTTTATACATCAAACCATTTTGATCCTGGAATAAGGTAGTCTAGTTCATTACGATACTATTTTAAAATATATCCATTTTACTAAAAACTAAATGAACAATTGAAAGTACTTTTAAAATTCTTAATGGGCTTACTATGCTTCTGGAGAGTCAGAAAATTACACTGGTACACAGTCTTTGCACAAGATTTGTACCGACATACGACTCCTGGCAAACCTCAAGGAGATGGAGGAACCCTTCGAAAAACAGCAGATTGGCTCAAGTGCGATGCCATACGAGCGGAACCCTATGCGCTCAGAGCGGTGCCGCAGCGTCGCCCGTCACCTGATGACCCTTATCATGGACGCGCCGCAGACGGCATCTCTGCAGGGGTTTGAGCGCACACTGGATGATAGTGCCAATCGACGTAGCTGTTTGGCTGCGGCATTTCTCACTGCAGATTCGATACTGAATACGCTGCAGAACGTTTCTGAAGGATTGGTGGTGTACCCTAAAGTAACTGAACGACGCACTCGGCAAGAGCTGCCTTTCATGACCGCAGAGAACATCATCACCGCCGTCGTGAGAGCTGGGGGTAACCGCCAGGACCACCGTGAGAAAATCAGAGTGCTTTCCCAGCAGGCGGCTGCTGGGGTCAGGCAGGAAGCCGGTGACAATGACCTCATAGAGCGAATCCAGGCCGATGCCTACTTCAGTCCCATTCACTCCCAGTTGGACCATCTACTGGATCCTTCTTCGTTTACAGGTCGTGCATCCCAACAGGTGCAGAGATTCTTAGAAGAGGAGGTATATCCCCTGCTGAAACCATATGAAAGTGTAATGAAGGTGAAAACAGAATTATGTCTGTAGCGTTGGAAAAAATGAAACAAGAAGTCGCTGGCTTCATTAACTTAAAAAAAGGGGGGGCGGGGGGAGCCTGGGTGGCTCAGTGGGATAAAACCTCTACCTTCGGCTCAGGTCATGATCTCAGAGTCGTGGGATCGAGCCCCGCATCGGGCTCTCTGCTCAACAGGGAACCTGCTTCCTCCTCTCTCTCTGCCTGCCTCTCTGCCTACTCGTGATCTCTGTCTGTCAAATAAATAAAATCTTTTTTATTTTCGCTTTGAAATGTTTTAATGAAGTTTTTCTAAAAGAGCAATAACTTATGCCGCGAACCGAAAGAGCAAGACGGCGTCTTCCATCCCCAGCTGTCGTCCCCAGGGGCGGCCTACTGACAGCGCTTGGGGTCCGCCTGGGGATAAGACAGCAGGGCCAGGGCCGGGGCCAGGACCCCGGTGGGAGGAGGCCGGCGCTGCTGGGGCGACCGCGGAGTCAGGAGCCGCTGCGAGCAGCTGGGGGCCCCGGGGGTTCCTCCTGGCAGTTAGGAAGGGGAACCCAGCAGAGCAGCACCAGGATCTGTCCGAGCAAAGCCCCGGGGGGGCGCTCTGGCTCTGGCGTGGGCGCCTTTCGCTCCCCTGCGCAGACCCCACAACTGTTTATTTTTTATTGTTTTTTTAAAAAATATAATTTTGTAAATGTTCCATAAAAATACTATTGTCTAGTCAAACACGGGTATTGCAGTACGAGCAGTAACTGCTCGGTCTTTGCTCTATAAAATGTGGAAAGATCATCACGCTGGATAGTATAGAAAAATGCCAGAATTCTAAGTATCACAAAAGCCAGTCCCGAGTGGGCGAACTGGAAGCGCCCCCCCGACCATGGTGGGCGGGTCTCCCCTGGGGCTTCCTGCGCCGCATAGGCCTGGGGGACCCCGCTGGGGCGCACTGGGTCGGACGAGGACAGCATGGCCTCTGTCTCAGACTTTCATTCTGCAAAATTATTAAAAAGTTCCTAGATGTTGATAGTAACAAGTCAAAATCAGCAAGTAATACTGTGTTTACCTACTATTTCCATAATTTATTAAGTAAAAATGTCTGTGTAGTTGAGATCTTAGAAATATATCATCTATCACTCCTCCTCTCCTTGTCCTTTTTTTTTTTTTTTTTTTTTTTTTTTAATATAGATGAGCAACCTGAGATATTTTTGACCTAGTAGTTAGGGTCATATAAACAAATACATGAAGCCTTTTGATGAGAGGTAAGGAATACACAAGAATGCAATATATTTGCAAAATGGCTATTCTGAATCTTACAATCATCCCAATCCAGGGCTTGGGGTTTCGATAGTAGTTAAATACATAGTAATATAAATTAATAGTTTCCACTGGCCAAATAATTTGACCTCTAGAATGTAATTATTTGGGGGTACATAGAGGTAAAATTTAAGAAAATAGTCACACTATTATTAACAATAATAAAAATTTTAAAACCTAATTGTGAAACCATAAGGAGCTGATTACTTATTCTGCATTGATTGGAGAGCATATAACTATTCTGAAAAAAAAATATTTTTTCAATGAATATTTAGAAAGTTAGATAGGACAAGATTATAATCTTTTTGTTTGTTTGTTTTTTTAAATACTTTATTAACTGTGGGGGAGGGGGGCTGCAACACCCATGATTAAATATAAATTTTCCAGCTACTAAAATCTGCATTTTTCAATAAGGAACCCAAATAATTATGTTTATCTTTTTTTTTTTTTTTTACATTTTATTTATTTGTTCATTTGAGAGAGAGATAGAAGGAGAGCATGAGCAGGGGGAGGCGGAGGGGGAGAGGGAAAAGCAGAATCTCCTCTGAGCAGGGAGAACCATACAGAGTTCAATCCTGGGATCCTGGGATCCTGACCTGAACCAAAGGCAGACGCTTAACCAGCTGAGCCACCCATGTGCCTCTAACTATGTTTACCTTAACACTCCAATATATGGGTAATTCCAAATGATAATGCTTTCTCATACTTTGTTATAGTAATTTCATAAGCATAGGCTTCCTCTTTTTTTAAAATTTTCTCTTCATTATGATTTTCTTTTTTCTTTATTAACATGTAATTTGTTATTTGCCCCAAGGGTACAGGTCTGTGATTCACGAGCACTCACCATAGCACATACCCTCCCCAATGCTCATCACCCAGTTACCCCACTGCTCCCACCACTCTCTACTCCGGCAACCCTCAGTTTGTTTCCTGAGATTACGAGTCTCTTATGGTTTGTCTCCTTCTCTGGTTTCATCTTATTTCATTTTTCTCTCCCTTCCCCAATGATGATTCTCTGTCTTGTTTCTCAAATTCCTCATATCAGTGAGATCATTTGATAATTGTCTTTCTCTGATTGACTTATTTTGGTAAGCACAATACTCTCTAGTTCCATCCATGTCGTCGCAAATGGCATGAGATCCCACCTCACACCAGTCAGAATGGCTAAAGTTAACATCAGGAAATGACAGATGTTGGCGATGTGGAGAAATGGGAACCCTCCTAAACTGTTGGTGGAAGTACAAGCTGGTGCAGGCACTCTGGAAAACAGTATGGAGGTTCCTGAGAAAATTGAAAATTGAGCTGCCCTATGACCCAGCAATTGCCCTACTGGGTATTTACCCCAGAGACACAAATGTAGTGATCTGAAGGGGCACGTGCACCCCATGTTTATAATGGCGATGTCCACAATAGCCAAACTATGGAAATAGCCTAGATGTCTATCAACAGATGAATGGAAAAAGAAGATGTGAGAGGGGCACCTGGGTGGCTCAGTGGGTTAAGGCCTCTGTCTTCGGCTCAGGGCATGATCCCAGGGTCCTGGGATCGAGCCCCACATCTGGCTCTCTGCTCAGCGGGGAGCCTGCTTACCTCTCTCTCTCTGCCTGCCTCTCTGCCTACTTGTGATCTCCATCTGTCAAATAAATAAATAAGATCTTTAAAAAAAAAAAGATGTGATACACACACACACACACACACACACACACACATATATATATATATATATATGTATCAGCCATCAAAGAAAATATTCTTGCAGTAACAAATAAGAAAAAGTGAGGTCCAGGGAAAAGAAAAAGGCTATTAACTACCTCACACCCATTAGTATGGTTACTATAAAAAACAAAAACCAGAAAATAACAAGTGTTGGCAAAGAGGTGGAGAAATTGGAATGCTTATGTACCACTGGGGGAATGTAAAATGCAGCCATCATGGAAAACATTATGGTTTTAACACAAAAAATTGAAACTGAACTACCATATGATCTAACAATTCCACTTCTATGTATATGCCCCCCAAAATTGAAATCAGCCAATTAAAAAAATATTTGTACAACCATGTTCATGGCAGCATTATTCACAATTTCCAAAAGGTAAAAGTAACCAAGTGCCCATGGATAGATGAATGGAGAAGCAAGATGTGATATAGACATAGAATGGAATACTTTCAGTTTTAAAAAGGAAAGAAATTTTAACCTGCACTAAAACATGGATGAACCTTAAGGACATATGTGAAGTGAAATAAGACAGTTACAAAAGAAAAAATACTATATGAACCCACATATACTAAGTACCTACAGTAGCCAAAGTCATGCCTACTGAAAATGGAATGGTGGTTCCAGGGTCTGGAAGGGAGAAGGGAATCAGGAGTTATCATTTAATAGGTAAAGAGTTTCAGTTCTGAAACATGAAAAGAGTTCTGAGAACAGATGGTAGTGATAATAGCACAAGGATATGAATATACTTAATGTCACTAAAGTGTACACTTTAAATATGGGTAATATGGCAAATTTTATGTGACAAAAAGCAAATGTAATACAGTATTGAGTTACATTCCTTAAAATATATTTTCCCAGTACTCCTAGGTGGCTCAGTCTGTTAAGTGTCCGACTCTTGATTTCTTCTCGAGTCATGATCTCAGGGTTGTGAGATAGAGCCCCATGTTGGGCTCTACCCTGGGCATGGAGGCTGCTTGGAATTTTCTCTCTCCCTCACCTTCTGCCCCTTCTCCCATGCTCGCACTCTCCCTCTGCCCCTCAAAATTAAAAAAAAAAAAAAATTAAAAAAAAGAAAATATATTTTCTCTGACACAAGCACTAGTTAATAAGACAGTAGAAATTGACAATAAATAAGAAAAATCACAGTCTAGATACCATTGCCTTGTCTTTAAAATGATGTAGGTATTGACTGAAGGAAATAAATGTGTATCTAAGGATAGGAGGCTTCAAAATAATATTTAGAAATTCGTGAATGAGAGATATAAGTCTAGTGTCAACCTTTCACTATCTCTTTTACAATGTTATTTAGGAGTTCAGCCAGATGCTACTGAATACTTCTATTTTATTTTATTTTATTTTACTTAATTTTATTTTATTTTATTTTATTTTAATGTTGAAAAGAAGTATACAAAGTCTAAGGAATAATGTTGGCAAACTCATTTCTTTATTAAAGTGTTTTATGTGAGTGTAATCTTTCTTAGCATAAAGCCTCAAAATATAGGGAACTCTTGAGAAAAACAGACTTGTTTTTAAATTTTACTCACCTCCTTGTCAACAACAACAAGAACTTAGGCATAAGGCCTATCCTCTCTGAGTCTCAAATCTTCTGCTTAAAACTGGGGTAAAAAACTGGCCACCAGTGTTACTAGAACCACTCAAGTCACATTTAAAGGGTTCAGTGTGTGGCGATTAAGACAGCTACTTCTGTAAATGTCCCTCAGTGTAGCTGAAAACTGATAACTGGACATCTCTGGATCATCCATCAAATGGTCACGACCACATGTGTGAATACTGAGAGAATCTACTTACAATAGATGCATGATCCAAAGGAACCATAACCTACATAGACATTAAATGAATCTTCCTATGAACAATATAACAAGTTACTCTATTAGTACAGTAAGAAGATAATACATATTTCTGAGTGCAGAGAAGAGCAATTAAAAAATAGTTTCCAGGGGCACCTGGGTGGCTCAGTGGGTTAAAGCCTCTGCCTTCGGCTCAGGTCATGATCCCAGGGTCCTGGAGTCAAGCCCCGCATT